AAGTAGCTAAACTAAGAGTTTGGATTCGTCGTAGTCCCACTAACAGCAAAAGAGATCATGGGTTTTTCTCATTTCGATACGTTTTCATTAGGAGAATAAAGCTACTGTCCGTTAGGAATAGGAAAGAGGTCCTTTGAAAACGCTGACCTTTGCTTGGAAGAAACTGGCAGCGCCGAGCACACCTTCTTTGGAGACATCCACACTATCGGCGAGAAGTTGGAAAACCTAAAGAGTCCTTCGTTACTATCCATAATCTTCTGCCTATTTACATATTGTTTGACGTTTTTATTGCAAAACCACTCTATAATGAATTCTCCCAGAACAGGTTGCTACAACTCGGAACATCAGAACAGGCAGTTACATTTAAGAGCACTTTTTAGGAGCACTTTTACGGTATTACTTCATACTGTGCTTCACTTGTTGTTTGCAACATCGTAGAATAGGAGAATCACGAGGTGATGACATCGCCCTATAATTACCTGCGCCACCTTGAGCGTTCTGTGGGAAGTGGCAATTCTCCTATAATTTTCTTGTTGTTTCGCTATGTATCCCGTCCCGGATATGAAGGGGAGCGTGGCTATATCCCCCATTGGAACATGGATTAGGCTGGGTTTTTGTAGGACGCTTCCATTCGATACAACCATCATCGTATCCAGCGCTGGACAAGAGATCGGAAGTGCTTCTAAACGGCAACTCGCTTCGAAAAATGCAGTTTCTCTAATGTACCATTGAAGTACGCAGCCACGCCCTTCTCCGTACCGGGATAGAGAGTGAGTGTTTTTGCAGTCGCATGAGGGAACAAGTATCTTAGCACGCACAATTTAGTATAAGCAGAGCCTTGAAGCAACAATTTTATGTATGGGAGATGAGCAACACATCTTCGTAGACGATAGCTTTACAAAGTATTATTACAAGAATAATGTAAGATGTTGCCTTACTTGTGAGCATCCCAGCTGGTTCTGAGCGGCAAGCCGGAAAATCAGGAAGAATTCTCGCAACGAGATTTTGCCATCCTTATCTTCATCTACCTGAAAACACATCAATGTGCTTTTGAGCATACCTCGAATTCATAAGTTCAATAAAAAACTGTGGGGATTAAATATAACCCGA